ACAATTGAGTCAGAATATGACATATTGTGGCTGGCTATTTCGCTACATTCACATGGGCGTAAGGTCTGACGTCCACTGTTCTTTACGTTTCTGTTATACAATAGATGTTATAAAATAGATATTTGATGTCTTCCGTGGCCGAGTGGTTTGTACGCCGGGTTTCATGGTATCGCCGACTCGACAGGTTGGGTCTCTGGGTTCGAATCACGGTGGGGGCAGATGTTTGTGTGATGAATACGAGCATTTGTACTCCAGTCATGAATGTTTAAATATGTATTTCTATATAAATATGCATAAATATGTACAGTATATGTATTCTATCCGTTACCCTAGCAACCCATAACACCTTTACAGTGCTTACTTTGGGGCTAGGCTAATTGGTGTGAGTGTTGGAAATATATTTTATATCTTCAGTAAGGAAACGGCCCTTAGTTTTTCCAGTCTCGAATATTACGGCTTTATCTCGAGTACTAGCTACAAAGTAGAATCTCTCAGGTATCATCTTCAAAGGTATAACTAAAATATTCAATTACCGCATCGATCCTTATAAAGTGAATTGTTAATTGTTTTGCGTAAGACACGTAACGTAACTACATTCGTAGTGTACTACAAGGACGAGGTGTCGCAAATGATCACTTTGAAGGAGCTCAGTAACCCAATTAAATACAATTTGTCAAATCAAATCTTGTTTCAGATTACATATAATTTGAAATAACCTTCAGAGAAGCTAAGCTATGTATACTAATATTATAAAGCTGCTATAAGTTTGTTTATTTGTTTGTTTGAACGCACTAATCTCAAGAAGTTACTGGTCCGATTTGAAAAAATATTTCTTATTTTATATAGTGCATGTGTCAAGGAAGATTATAAGCTGTATAATAACGTAACACCGAAAAGGAATGGAGCACCAATGAAAAATATCGCAAAACCGGGAAAATAATATTCCATTTGTGAGCTTCTATTGCGTGCGCTGCGTAAACGGTTGAAGTTGCTCAAAAATCATGAGTATGACGGAATTGTTTCTATAAAAAAGTCTGCGACATCATATATCTTGTCGTGACGCACCACAACCTTTTCCCTCAAATCAAAGCGAGTGAAATCGCAGGGCACCTCATCCGAGTCCAGTATTACAAACTTTAAGGTTTCATTGAAAAATATTAATAGAAACATGTTCGATCCAGAAAGGGCACTTTAAAAACTTAATAGAATATACGCCCCATGGGGTGTGACGACATTGACGTGTTTTCGAAGATTTCAGTCGGATTACTGTTCAAACATGTACAATGGTAAGGGACTATTTGTATCCATGTAGGACTCACACTTGATATTCTTTTTGCAGCAAATGATGAGAAACTGATAGTTAGTATATGAAAACAAATAATGAAAGAAAAAAATAATTGGATATTCAAAATGGCAGTGAACGCAACGTATCCGAGGGGCGCGGGGGTCATGTCAATCGGTAGCCTGGCTCTTGGGAATTCAGTCCTTATGGAGCGTTTCTCGGGAGCAGACCGCACGTTGTGCATGCGAGAGTTTTAAAAAAACGGTGATTAGGCGACTGTAGTGCGCAGAAAATTCTGCAGTATTCGAGGTTTTCGCCACTTAAATGATGCGCCAAGCATTCCTATCATTCGACATTGGGTTAAAAAGTTTGAAGAGACTGGTACAACGCTGAATAAATCAAAATCCGGACCACCTAGGTCATCAAAAACGGTAGAAAACGTGGAGAATGTTAATCAGTCTGTTCGTGATGACCCGAACCTTTCAATTTGGAAGTGCGACAGTAATTTTACTGTTCGATTAAATGAGTGCCGAGAACGCGACGACGGTCTACATTTAGACGATATTATTTTTAAGAAATAAATCCCCAAAAAGTTTCAGTTAAGTAAGTTTCTATATACTACTTTTTTAATCGATCCACTAAATATAAAAAATCTTTTGAGACACCTTGTATTAATTTTACATGTATTATCACTTCAACCATTTAAAATGATCGTGCGAATCCATTTTAAATGTTCTACGACATTAACACTTTCACAGTTGTTATAGTTATATTCATTTTCACAACCGTTTGATGCTATTCCAGCTAACCGTCCATTAATTACAACTGGTTCACCAGAATCACCACGGCTAATTCTTACTGGACTTCTAGAACATAAGACTACAGTTTTATCACTACAACAGCACAAACGCATCTTCCCTTCTCTAGGCTTCGAATCACTCGTTTCTGAATTTCCGTACCCAATTATTGTAGTCAAACTGTTATCTTCAAATCTGCAAATTCTGAAGCAGGCGCAGCGACCGGTGCCTGGGCGCACCTGACTTACGTGACTCCCGCGGAAGTGCAACACGCACTCGCGCGCTTGCCCCCTAAACGTTCAGCAGGGCCCGATGGCATTCCTTCGTTAATTTTTAGAGATTGCAGAGCAGTGTTAGTGGAACCATTGTTACATATATTCAACTTATGTATCAAAAATGCAAAGTGTCCTGATCGCTGGAAACTCACAAGGGTAGTACCGGTGCCAAAAGGTAGTGGAGGATCGGCGGCTAGTGATTACAGACCAGTTGCGGTTTTATGCACTCCAGCTAAAGTATTCGAGTCGACTATTCATAGTAGCCTGTATCCGAAAATAAGTGCTTTGTTGTCAGACGCACAGCACGGGTTCCGTCCTGGGCGGGGGACAACAGGGAACTTGTTGAATCTTATGGCACACATAGTACCGACAGTAGATGCCGGTCACCAAGTTGATGTTGCCTACTTTGATTTTAGGAAGGCCTTTGATACTGTTGATAATGATGTACTTCTATCAAAGTTGGCTAACGTAGGTTGCACACCGCACACGTTGTCATTTTTCGCCTCGTATCTACGAGACCGATGCCAATACGTGGATTGCAGCGGCAGGCTATCCGAACCCTATTTTACAAGATCAGGTGTAAGTCAAGGCAGTAATTTAGGACCTCTGCTATTTATTTTAATGATCAACGACTTGCCGAAAGTAGTCAAGATGTCTACACCATTGTTATTTGCTGATGACCTAAAATTAGTTCGCACAATAAAGGGATCCGGTCATGACTCTTTGCAACAGGATATAGATAGGGTAGTAGAGTGGAGTTTTAAAAATAAATTGTACTTCAACGTGGACAAATGTTCCGTATTATCGTTTAGTCGAGCGCGTAGCCCGAGTCACCATCAGTACTACATGGACAGCATGCCACTGAAACGTGTATCCGAAGTGAAGGACTTAGGCGTACGCTTCACTACCGATGTGAATTTTCGACAGCATATCGTAGAAGTTTGTAAGAAAGCTTACCGGAATTTGGGCTTAGTTTTACGTCAAGCGAACGAATTTACAAATCTCAGTGCAATAAAAGCTTTATACGAATCCCTCGTAAAAAGCCATTTAGAATGCAATGCTTTAGTCTGGTCGCCACAAGAAGCGAAATATAAATTAATGTTAGAACGCATCCAGAACAAATTCGTTAGATTTATTTTTTTGAAGCAGTATGGTGTGTATCCAGGCTTTCCACTTTTGTACCCTACTCTGTTCACACTAGGCATGACGGGCTATTTTAAATTAGAAGTAAGAAGGGAAGTGTCTCTGGCCACTTATTTATTCAAAGTGATTCGTGGTAAACTAAGGAACCCAGAGATTCTTCACACAGTTCAGTTGTGTGTGCCCAACGAGTACGCGAGGCGACGGAGGCAGCCTCCCCTGTTGTGTGTGTCGCGCGCGCGCACTAACCTGCAGCACTGCGCTCCTCTCACGCGCGCTCTGCGCGCGCTCAACACGCTGTCTCTGCACATTGACTTGTTTCAATGCACATTGAATGAATTCACACGGGCCGCTTATTGTATACTATCATAGAAATGTTTATTTTATCTTCGTGTTTGTGTTTTATTTTTTTATTTTTAGTTTTGTATAATAATTGGATGTATCGTAACTGCTCTATTGTATTAGGTTATACCTGTAATGATAGATGTAAGTGATTATTAAATAAATAAATAATAATAATAATAAATAATAAATAAATCTTTATAAGGTGTACGCTCAATTAATTTTGTAGCTTCGACATCATCTTCGATGACAATTTCCATTTTAGTCTTTAGTCATTTGTCATAATATAGCCATCAGTGAAATCAGTATGTTTGAAATATTTTTTCAATTTTAACCTTGCTATTTTTATTGGTTTGTGTGGGTAAATGCAGTGGACAGCAGCAGTGATAATCCAACGGCTACATATGATAGAAAATTTTCAAAAATATTCATTCCCTCCGTCGCTTACAACTAATTTAACTAAGTATTAATGACTATTAATATCAATAGGTTTTCCACCGAAAATCCGTGACTCAATCACAGAAGAAAGTGTTTGTGATAAATGAACAGAGATAAAGCACAAATAAAAAAATATAGCAGAAGCCATAACTTCTCTCAGCCAAAATTTCTTGACAAAAATTCAAATACAACGCCAGTAAATTTAAAAGAATGTGAAATTTAAATAATTAACTTATCCCTAAAAGTCTTAATTGTTTCTTAATTAACAATTTATTGTTTTAGGGTTCCGTAACTCAAACGAAAAATAAATTTAACGGCACGGTCTCAGAAAGCATTCCTAAGGGGTGCGTAGTATGTGTATCAGGGGTTCGTAGTATGTCAATGATAAATTCAATAAGGGAAGTATCAGCATTTTTTTACTGTGTTTCAGTAAAAAAATCATCAATAGATGGTGTTATGCTGAATAGAATTTGTTGCTTGTTCTTCTTCTAAAATATTATTTAAACTCATAAACATTGCTACGGGAATATTTGTATATGTGTGGAACTCGCACTAGATAGTTTATTTGTTTTAAAGAAAATGATAAAATAGCGACATTAGGTTTAAGAAAACAAATAATGAAAGAAAAAATGCAATTTATTTCTCAAGGATATTTGACAATATTACATTTTATGTTTGCTTTATTTTAATTATTGGGGTTGTATTAATTAAAAACTTATTATTATTTCAACCATTGGTAATGGTAGTGCGAATCCATTTTAAATGTTCTACAACATTAACATATGCACTTTCACAGTGATCACAACCGCTTGCCGTTATTCCAGCTAAACGTCCACTAACTACAACGGGTCCACCAGAATCACCTTGTCCAGGTCTTATCGGACTTTTAGAACATAAAACATTCTTTTTATCTCCACAACGGTACAATCGCACCTTCGCTTCTCTAGGCTTGAAATCGATCGTTTCTGACATGCCGTACCCAATTATTGTAGCCAAACTGTTATCTTCAGGTGTACGATCTATAAGTTTTATCGGTTTGACGTAATCGTCGAAGACTATTCCTTTTTTTGTCTTGAGTAAAGCGACATCGTTTTTGGATTCATCATTTGTCAAAACATAATTACGAGTGTTATTATAATCAGGATGCTTGAAATATTTTTCAATTTCAACAATAACTTGTCTATTACCATCTCTGAAATGTGTGATGTCAGTTTTTATTGGCTTGTTTGGGAAAATGCAATGAGCAGCTGTGATAATCCAACGACTACTTATGATAGAACCACTGCAACTTACTCCAGATGTTTCCTTGTTGTGGACAGACAATTTTACTAAATATTTATGCCTGTTCGTGTCAACTGGTTTTCCACCAAATATCCGTGACTCCATAACGAAAGAGAATGTTTGTGATAAACAGACAGAGATTAAACACAAATAAAAAATCATGGTAGAAGCCATGGCTTCTCCTCTTGATAATTAAAAAATGAATAATATAGCAAATGGATATAACTAAATATATATAACAACATACCATCATCTCAAAAATGACAAAATTGGCAAAAATTTAAATACGTCGTCGATAATTGAAAAGAATGTGAAATAAAAATAACAATAGTAGTGGTTACCTAATACAATTGTGATTTTTTTTAACTTGTCATTAAATCATTGCTATCATTATTAACTATTTATTTATTTTCGTAATTCCGATAATAAGGAAACACTTATGACAGGATTCCATAGATTATCCCAGAGGAATATGCATAATACGTGTATCAGAAATTTGCAGTAGCTCATCACAGTAGTTTGTTTGTCTTTAAAGACACATTTTCTTTCCAAATTCTTCAAATTTATCAAGTTGAAATAATAAGGTCATTCTAAAATAAAATTATAAAAACAAAACCTAATTCTAAAATCCTTTGGATCCTTTCCGTTTTCCTTTGGAGAAGCTGTGATGAAAACACGCTTCTAAATCGATACGGTTGTTTGTTATAAATTTTGTAACTCACAAGGGGTTATTTTGTAACTTATAAGGTCAAGACCAAAAATCTATTATCTCCAGCTCTTCCATGCTCAGCAGGCACTCTGAGGCATTGGCCCAACTTAGTTTATCATGACCTGTTCTCCATATTCCATCAAAAGCAAAGGCTCCAGCCGTGGGGACATTATTATGATGATGATGATAATGATTTTCCATTGATCTAGAATCAGGAAATTAAGCAACATGTTTTATTTCTGACCTATTTTGCCTTCCTTAAACCTATATCAGTAATTGCATAAGTTGTTATAAATACGGTGCCTTAGTAGAGTATATTATCGAAGCACAAAGTACTTAAAGACTTCAACAGCTTCATTATAACTATCACAATAGGAAATGCTGTGATTTCCACCTTCCTGATATAAAAGAAACATACCTACAGTGGTTGATGCATAATGAATCAAAAGACAGTTCTTTAAATAGTAAAATACATTGTTTATAAATCGGAATCATCTCATATTTTTATTCTCGAAAACACTAAAAAGGAAGTCAAGCGTGCTGCCGACCTGTAACGGTGAAGAAGAGGGTCCCTAATCTTAACGCATACATACAGTTAATTTAACAGGGAGATTAATATTAACAAACGATACACGAAGCAGAGGCCGCTCTACGAACTAAACATGTTTTTAACAGCGAGGCTATAGTCCGGCCCCTCGCCACGGCCGGTCTTCTAGACAGCACCGGACTCCCCGGCAGAGATAGGAAACAAAAGCCTTTTATGTTACAGCCGAAGAAAACATCGAAACCGCGATTCAGGAGCTCAGTCGCAATTGGTGGAAAACGGTCTATCGCGTCCGTGCCGTTACGGTGGGTGAGCGCAAAAAATTTAATGTCTTAGATTGCGGCCACAGTTGCAAGCTTTTCCAGTAGATTAACTGTAGAAATAAAAATAACCTCAGTTTCATTTGATGTGAAACAAATATCGTGACGGGTGTGGAACTTACGGGTTTTTAACTGTTGATAGTTACGACGCTCAATGGCAAATATCTACAAGCTTGAGTTTACTACTCAATTATTAATAATATGCACCGTAATTTAGTCATCATTTCTAAAAAATCTGTAAATTGCTGTAATAGTCACTTCGATTTCATTCCAAGGCTCCAACATAGTTTAAAATTTCTATTTCTCTACATTTAATAAGTATATAAATATTTGATAAAATCCGACCTCAAAGTAAGAACTGTAAAGCTACTTTTCCAGCACACATCTTCCTAGCACATCTATGGCGGAAACTCTCACACCGTTTTACAGCTTCGCTACACATCCTAGCTCCGCTTACCTTCTTAGCACATCTCTGGTGAAAACAGTCCCTCAAGCTTGTGTTACGGGATACTAAGAAAACGAGAAGCAATACATATATACATAAAACAGTATGTATATTTTTGGAGAAACGTAAAAAACTGCTATAGAAAGTACCTAGAATTGTACGAACTCATCATACAAACATTTGCTCCTACCGGGATTAAAACTAAAGACCTCAGAGCAAGCAACACCCAGAACACCGGTGTACATACCACACTAGTATGGAGGACTCTATCCTCCATATTAATAAATGAAGAATAAGCTTGGATAAGTTACTTCATCTTTTGTCTCTGTTCATAGAATGACAAATGGCATTTGAGTGATATGAACAAAACACGGCGTAACTAGTCTATGAATGTAGTAAGTTACTGTTTGAAATGATTCTGTTGTTATCGTCTAAAGCACATTAAATCTGTACGGATAAAAGAGTTAAGCAAAAAAAATTACCGAATGACTTGCAATTATGTACCCCAAGCGTGTTTTGAACAGTAAAAAATGATGTTTGTAACCGGCACGAGATACGGTAGAGTAATTTTTCTTACCTAGACAATAAATGAAAATAATGCACAAACGTAACACTAAAAGTATTTATGCTATGTAAGGAAATAAATTATATTGAACTGTAGGTAATTTTAAATGCAAGTCGGACTTGTTTAAAAAGAGTTCCGTACAAGATAATATATCTCATTTCATAGAAATATCTATAAATATTGCCTTCTAAGTTGATTCCAATCAATGTTACAGATAAGTTTGCGGTAAACAATTTTAGATATTTTTTATGCCTATCACGACTCAAATGATGTAGTCATTAATAAGATCAAGTAAAAACAAAGTTTAAGGCGATTTGATTACATTGAAATTTTGATTTAAAATGTTCAGTTTAGCGCATGTTAAGAATTAGGATGAACCCTAAAAAGTTATAAACAAAATAATTTTCCACCACTCTCTATGTTATTTAAATTCACAATAATGTCATGCAGCCGATAACACTGGTGTTTTCATTTGACATTCTTTTATGTATTTTATTTATTTTAGTAATATTGTAATTTTTAGCGTATTTTAAATTTTTAAGTAAATTATTGAAAGTAAATATATTTATGCGAACGCAGTTATTTATTTTTCAATTTATCAACAGGAGAGCTTTGGTTTCCGCGATGGTATCTTACTTATGTTTAATTCTTATTTGTTTAATTTTGGATGGAAAACCTATTGATATTAACAGTCATAAGTATTTAGTTATGTTAAATGTCGACCCTATGTTATGCAGTGGGTCCATCATAAGTAGCCGTTGGATTGTCACAGCTGCTCACTGCGTTTACCCGAATCAGCCTACAAGGATCGAGGTTACCCATTTCAAAGATAGCAATAGAACAGTGATAGCTGAAATTAAAGAATATTTCAAACATCCTGATTACAATAACCATAATTCAACCTTCAAACTCACAGAATATGATGAAATGAGTAACGATATCGCTTTACTAAAGACTGAAAAGGAAATAGTCTTTAATAACTTTATTAAACCGATCAAACTTATTGATGCAATACCTGCAGACTACAATTTAGCTACGATAGTTGGATACGGCGTTTCAGAAACGGGCCTGGGAAAGCTTAGAAAAGGGAAGATGCTATTGTATCGCTGTGGTCATAAGAACGAGGTTTTATGTTCCATGAGAAGTCCATCAAGAATTGGAGTCGGTGATTCTGGTGGACCCGTTGTAATTAATGGACATTTAGCTGCTGTAATATCAACTACTTGTGTTGATTATTTTTATAATAATGCCTGTACAAATATATTCGTTAATATTTTAGAACATTCTGAATGGATTCATACGATTATTTCAAAAAGCTAAACTTATTTTTCATGTGAAGTACCAGAAGTTCGTTATCATCATATCAACAGTAAGGGCATTTACGACTGAGTATAGCTCTACCCCAAGTATCTTCACAGCGATCAGTCCTACGCTATTCACATCTAGCAGCTTCCGATGCACTTCTTCAGATCATCAACCCGCTTTCTCCTCGCTACGTATCTTGTCCACTGCGACTTCAGCCTCATCCTTCAAGCAACGTCGGTTACTTTAGCTCTTTTACTGATTCCCTCATTTTTCAAACTTGCTTGCAGTGAAGATCCAAGCAACACTCTCTTCATTGCTGACTTTGTGCCTTCTTATAGTACAGCGTGAATGTAATACTCCATAGAATTTTTCCAGTTGGTTTGCCTGTCAGTCTGTTTTTCAGTCTGTCTGTTACGCTTTTACACTTTAATTTGACTATGGTTGGTGGAGTAACATTTTTCTCCTTCTTTCGGACAAATATCTACATATGCATAAACAAGTATAGACCGGGCTAAAAATAATTCATTACTTAAGCATTGGATGGATTTACAGAGTTCCACGCTACCAGATTTTTTTGTTTGAGATATAAACTTCGAAAGATTTTAGAAGTATCATACATATAAACCTTAAAATGGGGCCTGAAAATTTGCATACAACATTAATGAAGGTACTAACCAAGCATCCACACGTTGGATGTTAAACCAGTTGTATTCCGATTAGAGACAATGTGAAGAAGTCTATAACATAAATAGGGTGTATGCATTAAGTTATTGTACAACAATAAGTTTTTCATTGCCTGACAAGGATGACATTTTCGTTCAACATAATATTGCAAGAAAATTTAACCTATCACCAGCATGTGAACGAATTGCGAAAATTGGAGCAGATACATTTTGACCGGCCGACAACGACAGCCAAGCCCGATTGTTTGCGACAACGTTGGATCTAAAGAGTATTTCTCGATGAACAGAATTGGGGCTAATACTGGGGGGAACCGCCTGATTCAACTTTTAAGTAGATGATATCAAAAACTTCCGCTAATGTTTCTCTAACTAAAATATGTTTGACGTTGAAACGCAATACAATGAATGACCTGTACCCCTAGCACGAACCAATATCGAATTCGTAACGTTTGCGAGTACGAAATGTCATTGTCAAAGGTGTATGTGTGTTTTAGTTCTCGTTGCGTACTTTGTGCCGCTGCTGTTCAAGTTTCC